TAAAATTATTGGGAGCCTATAAACAAATTAGTAGATATTTTTGTGGCATAAAACAATTGCAGAGTTTCCTTTTTATGGCCTAAAACGCATGAAAATATAATTTCTTGGTCTGACTAAAATTTGATTTTCTTTTATCAGACTTGCATTCCAGCTGTCATCTGAAGATTGTCCTCAGACTTTGTGAGGTCCTATTTCTAGACTTATATTTATTTCTGGGTTCAAATTTGTCTTTTCTAATTCAGCTTTTTACTAGGAGTACTGGGTAGCTTTCTTCATCAGCTTGTTTGAAAAAATTGTCCTGAATGATACATATTTATTTAAGACTAAAAGAGTTGTGTCCTTTGTCCTTAGTATTGCCTGGAAGATAGTACATGTTGCTATTGTTTGAGATGTAGTGCTGCTTTGTAATAATTTGCACATTTTCTGTGTGGATTTAGTTACTGAATGGTATACCTTATGACTACATTCAGTTAAATATTGCAAGTTTATATGTCATATCTGTTTATGAGTCATATCTGTTTAGCTTGATGTAGATATGTTGGAAAATCAAGAAAAGTGGCTTGATTTTCTAACCTGCTAATGTTTTTCAAAGAATTAATACCATTTTCTTTTACATATTTCTGATGAACAATGGTTTCAGCAATAAACTTGTCAGAGTGAGAGGTAAAAGTCCGTGTTCATTAACTCAGGAAAATAAAAGCTTAGTAAGACTGTAAAGAGTAAGGAATAAGAGGATTGACATGAAAGGGTAGCAGAATGAAAAATTTCAGGGACTAGAGTGACTTGTGAGGTGAGGCATGATTAATCTCATACAGAGATTGTAAAAGAGCTTTTTAATCATTCTGCTCCTCAATGGTCATGCTTCCAAAAAGAAAAAAGGTTAATCTTGTTGGCTGGTTGGTTAGGTGGAAGGCACTGTACTGCAGCTCTGGACCTAAAATACTATTGAGTAGAGGAGAGGCAATGAATTTGAAGAAATGGGTGTAAATGAGAAACTGGTTTTGGTGTTGCATCTAACTATTGTTCGAGATAGAAAATTTCTAATTTGCTAGTGTTTTAAAGAAGCTTTTTTAAGTTTAATTAACAATTTTTCATAATTAACTAACATTTTCTTCATTTTGACAACTAGCTTGATCCCTTGTTTTTAATTTTTCACTGTCATTATTTTGTAGATGATTTTTCAGAAAGTGTATGTGTTAATCAAAATATTGACTTAGCCTAGTAGTTACCATTCTTGTCAAATCTTTTTGATGATGTTTCTGTAATGACTAAAGAATTAATATGGTGAATGTTTATAAAATTATGGAAGTTTTCTTAGAAATTCCACTTTTAAACATGCTGTAAAATGCATATGTTGCAACTTCTAACTTATCAGCACATTTCCTTAAACATTGCATTGAAACAGGACCCTATCTAAATATGTGCATATTTAGATCTGTGCATTTGCATAACCTTTTAACTCCCTATATACACAAAAACATTCTCTCTCTCTCTCTCTCTCTCTCACTATATATATATATATTTGTTGAAAATAAAACCTTAATATAAATTTGTAGACATTCATTTTTCTTTATATTTTGGTAATTTACAATACCCAGATAAATTTGTATTGATTTTCATTCCGGAAACTAAAATTGTAACTATTACTGTGACTATATTTGCTTGTCCAAGACCTCAGTGCCAGGTTTTGCTATTAAGATTAGGTAAAGTACATGTTGGCTACATTTTAACTATGAGTTTTTTGGAATAGGTTAAACATGTAGGCAAACAATCCACAGTGTATATAGGGAGTGTAGGGGTTTTTTAAAAGGTCATCTGTGTAAGTTCAGCTACAAATAACTTTTTTGTTACCAGTTGTCTTGTTGCTATTATTTATGTTATGAAAATTCTATTGAAATATATTAAAAATGTTTTCTTATTTTTTATGGCTGGATAATTCAGACCACATTAGAGACACTGTTTTGTGATTTATTTTTAGCTTCTTTATTCAGAAATGTCTTCTAAATTTAGGGAGGCATAAAGTTGACTAAAAGCTACATATGTTTTTCCAACCCTCTTCCAACTGCCTGACTTTGTCAAGAGTGTAAAATTATGTAGCAGAGAATAAAATATGGATTAAGCAAGATTCAATCATCCTGAAAGAGGTACTGCTTTGTTTTGTGTTTTGGTTTACTACCATTATTTTTTTCTTCTTTTTTTTTCTCCTCTATGTGTCCATATTTTGTTTGCCCCTGCTTTTAAGCAAAATTATGTGATTTATCATAGTACTTTACTTTGAATCTTAGCTCACTGAAATAATTCAACACATAGCTCTTTTTTATTGTGCTTTTATTTCAGCAAGCTGAGTTTTTGCACAATGGCATAGTGTTTGGACACATGGAGATTCAAATGAAAAGGAGGACGTTTACCTGAGTAATTTTTGACCAACTTTTCTAAGTAGAGCATGCTATTTTTAGAATTTTGGCAATCTATATACATTTTACATATATATTGGATGCACTTCCTTGTGCAAGCACAACCTGTTGTATGTTTTGCTTACAATATTAATGCAGCATATCACATGTATTCTGAGTCACATCACTTATGTGTTCTGAGTAGTTGCTACTTTATGGCCAGGCTTCCACATTTATGCATCTCATTCCAGTTTAAAAGATGACAGATACCCAGAGCTCAGTGTAGAGAAACAACCCCTGCTGAAATCTGCAGTAAAACCAATCTAATAAAAGGCTAACCAAAAAAGTGAATATCTCTAGAAAAGTCTAAAGATGGAGAGACCACGAGAAGAACAAGCAATGCAACAGATTTTAGATTGACATAGAAAGAGTTGTAGAACTAATCACTAATCATGGTATGTTATAGTTAGTACAACTTTAATTTGACTGATTGTTAAGTATTTTGGGGAGAGAGAAGTCTGATTTGCCATCAGATTTACAAACATGTAGTTAGATTTTAAATACCTTTGTTACCACTGAGCATATGTCTACAGTCTAATAACAAAAATCACCAATAGCCACCAAATACCATTTGATGTTTCCAGCTAATTTGGACAGTATACTCAAAGACTAAGAACATATTCACATGTTTTAGCATAACCTCAGTGCACCCATGCAAATTTTTCATTGTATCTAACTCACATGTATGTTGATTTGGGGTGAATTTGCAAAGCTTTCTTTTTGCCCTTAAAACTGATTTGTCTTTCTGTGAGGGTGGGGTTTTATTTATTTTTTTTTCACAGTTCATGTGAAGCAAGCTTTAAAACATTGGGTGTAAGTCTGAGAGTAATAACAACCATGGGTCTGAGGCAGAGGAGAATTAGTAGCGGCTCCAGGTATCAGTGGGTGCGAAGGTCTCTGTCATTAAGGACCACACTAAATAAACATGCTGGAATATGATTGCTTTATTGCTCTTTGCTCATTTTATGTCATTTTATTGCCCTACTAATGACTATAGAATTAGGTGTGTAAGGGAGGTCTGAAAATGTGGAACTAAAAGAGGTATATAGACAAGTGTGTGTTTCCTGTAGAGATTCCAACTTCTCATCATGGATTATGAAGAATTTACCTTGAACAGATGAATGAGGGTAGGGAGAGAGGCAGAGAGGTACCTCAGTACAGATCTGTTTCTAGGCTTCATCCTCACTTTCGTACCCCTGATGATTTCCATGTGCCTTTTTAGAGATCCCATGGGAGAGGCTGTGTCATTTCAAAGCAGTAGGGTTTTTTCCTCCACTATTAGCCAAATGGTATATTCCTGATCCAGGAGCTAACCATGAAAATAGGCAGATAAGAATTAATTTTATAGGTGTTTGACTGTTGAATAAAATAGTCTAATTTATGATAATGCCAGAATCAATCTGGCATGCTGGTGTAACAGTATCACTTCTGAGGACAAAAAGTACTGATTGGCTAATAATTTTACTGCTTTCTATTTTGCATGCACTGCAGTTTACAAAATCAATAAAGAATGTAGTACCTCAGCAGACTTACAATTTAGACTGTAAGAATCTCTGTTCTTGACTAAAGTCCTGTTCTATCTAAATAAGGGGAGTTAGTTTTATCCCTGGTGTTTAGAAGTGATTTTCTGTGTTGTCACTTTCTTCCAAGGGAAAGTAGGATGAATTACCTGTAAGGTTTCAAGTAATGTGAAAGGCAAAAGAATGCTGCTGAAGCAGGCGGATATTTTTGAAATACAAAAAGCTAAAAATGACATGCTTTTATTTGGATCTTAAGAGCATGACGTTATATTTGGGGTGAAGAAGGCAAATTGTCTTTCAAAACTTTATGAGTGACCAGTGCATATTTTGTTTGGATTTAAGAGTTGCCCATAAATGCATAGACTACACACACATAAGAATGTATCGAATTAACAGGCACTATTGAAATAAATAATATATATAAAGCAATAAATTGGTACTGCCTGCCTAGCTAAAGCTTAGCTTTTAAAGGTGCAGCTCACCCACCCAAGAAAAGTCAGCAAGTCTGCAAGAGTTGTAAAGTAGTTCTCAAGGTTACTACAAACTGTCCCTTTGTTTCTTTCGCGCCTTCATCCTTTTTGAAATGCTGTGCACATAGTCAAATTAAAATTGTTTTTCTTTCAGGCTTTTCTACTACAAATCCTGTTTTACTATGTAGTTTACCCAGTTTACCTAAACATTAGTCATCCAAAGAGCAGGGGATCTTTTATTCATATGCCTTCTATGTCAACAGAACCACAGTCTTAAAAACCATTTTGTCTTCTATTCCCTATAAGTAATCCTTCCAGATAGTATTTCAAGACATTGTATAAATTCTATGCTTTTTTACTCTACAAGTGGAAGAAAATCTGGCATCAATGTTGTCTGATGACTTAAGCATTTTCTTTAATCTTCAGAAATGCCGTTATACCTTGAATGAAAGCACTGTATTCTCAACCTTTATAATCCAAATAAGAATTTTATTTAGGAGCATAGTTGGTTTGCATTGCAGGTAGCTTAGCATTTATTTTATTCTTATTGGCTGCAGGTATTACCTAGAAATGAGGATGGAAACACAGCCTAGGAAATCAGCCTTTTGTCATCTGTGTATGAAGAACTGAAGTGTCTGTGCTTTGTTGTTTTATTTTTTGAATGTAAGTAAAGGTTTATTGCATGCTTCATTAACATCCTTGCTTGCTAGAGACTGTATCAAGTTGGGTGACCTATTTCAACATGCCTCTCACTCAGAAACTGGTGGCTGTTTGGAGATAAATCAATTGTAAAGATCATGTGTTATGAAATTGGAGAAGCTGGTGGTAGGTTGTGGAAGATATGCACACGCCAAAAACTTTTGCTGAATGGTATTATTTTTGTCCACCCAAGGCTCTGTGTGCTCCTTCCTCATCAGGCAATTGTTCCCTCATCTCATCATATCTTATTAGTTTCTCCAGTTGAGATTTTCCAATATGCTTCGGGGAAAAGTTGGAAGACCTGTGAGCCCCTAGTTACTTCTTTTTCTTAATTGGTATGCTTTAGTCAGCTAATTAAGGACTTCTCAACTCCAACATGTATTGGCCATGAAAACCTTATACTCGAAAGCTGAAGATTTTTTCTATTGATTTCATTAGACTTTGAATGATCAGAGATTCTTCAGTTCCGAGCCTTAAATATACATCACTTGAAAAAAAAATATTCTTCCCCTTTTCCACTTGTTAAGTGAATTCTACCTTGAGTGTTTTCCTCTGGCCCCCAATGAGCTCCATAATTCTTGTTCCTTTTTAGTCAGCAGCCACTTGTGTTTTGAATTCAGTCCCACTTTGATCATCATGATGATATTTTTGCAATTTTTTTCATGTTTAATAACACTACTTTTGCTCAATTTGTGCAAACATCTTTTGGACTTGTTACAATTTGATTTTCTGTCAGGGATAGTTCCAAAGAAGAGAAAATGATAGGCAGAGGAAATGATGCTGGTATATATCTTATTTGCAATTCTAATAACAGCTTTGTGAATTTGAACACATTAGTAAAGAGCACTTCATTCAAGTGCATATTACCACAGAACTTGCTAAACATGCCTAAGAATAATGCTATTCCAATCTGGGCAAATTAGATGGATAACATAATTTACAGCTGTTGTTAATTATGCATCAGCTTGATCACAGCATAATTCTGTTAATTGCCTATCACAATGAGGTTAACTTTCTGTTATTGATATTTCTTTAATTTTTAATTAGAATAATACACTTGATATTTTTCTCTGGCCACTTTATCAAAAATAGTCATGATTCAAATGTTCACCACAATAAGACTAGAAGAGATCTCCTGAGTCACCAGTTTGGCTGACATCACTAACCCATGTAATACGTTACATAAATTTCTCTCCATGTCTTTAAACCAGTTAGGTTCTTCGCCTCTGCTGCCCAAAATGGAGGAATTTTGTTGCAGTGCCATAACCCTGACATGTTTAGAAGCTTTCCACTTGCCAGCCTCAAATTTATGCCTTTGTTCTTATGGCAGAATTGTTTTACTGTCTAAATAAGTTTTTCTCCTGTGTAGCTTACAGTGCATGATTTATTTGTAGAATAAACTCCCTCTCACTTTTCACTTTCCTGAGATGAGCAAACCAACTCCTTTTAGTCTCCTTCAGTAAGATCTACATTCTCTTGCCCTGAACATGGCTGGCAAGCCATTAATGCTCCTTAATTCCAGCTGTAATGGCAGCTTTTAACTCTGCTGCTCACATAGATGGAAGTAGAAATGCCATTCACTGTCAGACAAATGACAGATCGCAGGAGGTGTAGATGAGTTCTGCTGGCTGTAGGAAATGAGTCCAGAAGTGATTGGCTAGCTTCTTATTCTGGCTAATTAACAGATATGACAGTGTCTTAATTAGAGCTGTTTGAGACAGCTAAGTCAATTTTTTTCAAACCAAGTCCATCATAGTAATTTTATTTATGTATACACCTGAAAAATAGGGAGTCCTATTAATGCTAGTAATTTTGCCTGGGCAGGATAGAAAGCTGTTGTGATTCTTAGGGAATAAAAATGTCATTGAGAATTGTGATTCTGAGAAACAACTGGAGAACAATCCTTTACTGGGGAGACAGTCAGAGGACTAGCTAGGAAAAACTGTGCTGTGAAGAACCAAAGAGTCCTGGTAGACAATAAGCAGAGCATGGTCCAGCATTGAATCCCAGGAGAAGAGGGCCAACAGCATCCTGGGCTATATTAGCAGGGCTCAGAGAAATTATTATTTCCTTCTACTCAGCACTTGTCAGATGACACCTAAAATGGTGCATTATTCCCACTTGCCCCCTTCTTTCTGTGAAGAAATAAATGGATTAACTGAAGGAAGTTCGGTGGAGGGCCACTAAGATGGTAAGGGGCTGACACACCTGACCAGCTGAGGAGAAGCGGAGTTGTTTCAGCTTAGAGATGGCTTTGTGAGAGACACCCTCAAGGCAGCCTCTGGTACTTCAAGGCTGTTTGTGAAAAAAATGGACTTTCATGGTTGTGCAGGTAAGAGGGCTATGATGGCTAAGAGGACTAGAAGTCTATGGATGTAAGTTAAGATCAAAGTATTTCAGACTCCATGTAAGGAGAAAAATTACAGTAGGAAAACAGAGTGCCCAGAGAGGTTAGGCAGTTTCCGTTCTTCAAAGTATTTTTGGATATGACTATTTTAAGCCTTAGCAACCTGGTGTGACCTGCATTGAGAAGAAAGTTGAACCTGATGATCTCCTGAGAACCTTGAAGTAAAGGATGAAGAATGTATTCAAGATTCCTTATGTCCATAGTAGTATTTGATACAGTTCCTCCTTTTGGACTCATGAAACTTGCTAATAGATTTTATACAAATACCCAGTCATTTAGTTCTCTCCTGTTTCTCTTCTTACTTGACTGGGTTTTATATTCATATCCCTTTCAGAAAATAATTCTCAAAGTAATATTTTCTTTTTAATTTTAATTTTTATTCCTCTTTTTCCTTTTCTTTCTCTTTTTCTTTTTCTTCATTCACTTCAAAACATTGTAATACAGCAATCTGCTACAATATTACTTTAGTAATTTCAATTCACTTTCATCTTAGAAATTAGCAAAGAGCCCAGTATCCTGTTTAATCTCTGATTATTTGTTTTTCTCTCCTAAATTATGAGAAGTATGATTTCACTTACGTAAAATCAAACTGTTTACAGAAAAGATTGTGTCTTCATGTTTTTTAATATTTAGTATTTTAGTATTCAATGATTCTGAATACTTTGGGTTCCTAAAGAGACTACTTCTGCCACACTTCCTAGGAATGGTTGGTTTTCAGATATTTTTAACAGTTCCTTTCAAGATAACAGTAGACAACAGTACTGTAGTTTTGTTTCTTTTTTTTTTCTCCAAGAACACTATGTAGATCAAATGAGACAAGTCAGTCTTCAACTGAAAAATATGGTGATGTTTCCTATCTCAAAAATTTATTATATGTAAAAAGAAAAGTAAGTGTAACAGAGAAGTTTCTGTGTTGTTCAGAGTTTTACTTACTCAAAAGCCCAGGCAATTCCAAGTTTTAGCAAGAAGTGCCTTCTTTATTAGACCAAGCAGGACTTTCACTTCAAACAGTCAAAACAGCTATTCTTTTTGGTCCAACTATTATGTTGTTGATAGATTTAGCAGTCAGACACTACAACTGCTAGACTCTGACTATGGACCTTACATCACCTTAAAAAGAAAATCATGTTAGTCCTATTTTTCCACTCACCTGCAGATTCTGAAAGTTTTCAAATACCTTTTTTGTTGTATGTGTAATCTATTTTAACATAAATAGGATACACCCAGTAGTGACATTTCCATCGCCTAAGTGAAGTCATCTTGTTTCCTTGCATGCAACTGCTACTGGCTCAGCTTTCCAGATTCTTAAACAAATAGATCTTTTTGATTAGAAGTCTTTTCTACTGCTTTTCAAACTTCTTATTTGAAGTTGAAGGACTACATTTTCCCAGCAAGTTACTTCTGCCGTTCTCATAAATCAAGAGTATTTAAATACTAATGTGTTTTAAATGCTAATTTATTAACAGAACTTGCTTAGCAAAAGTGGACTGTCACCTTAGATATTTTCTCACGTGTCTAGTTAAAGCAATGTTATCTAGAATACTAATAAATTTCAGGTATTGTCAGGGCATTTAATCAGTAGCGAGTACAGTTCACAGCTGCTTTTTCTCCCTAATCAGACAAAAAGATGTGTATCTTTACTGCATTGTTTTAAAGAAAAATCCACAACTTTGGAATGCAGCAACTTCTATGTGTCTTCAGAAATAAATTCAACAAATCTGTTGTGATTTCTCATTTTTATCAAAATAGAGTGTAGCTTTGAGAAGGCAGCTTAACTTCAAGCTGTTCCTGTGACTGTGTATGTGCGTCACAGTCCTGGCCCCAGGAGATGCATCTGAACAGTGTCCCAGCAAGGTGGGGAAGTGACCCGTGTCTTCTGCATACCTTGTATTTCTGGTTGTCAGGCCAGAGGAGGCATCAGCCGGGAAAAGAACCTGTGTTCTTGGTGCACCCTCTAAAGAAAATTATAGTCCTGTCCTTTGGTCATGGGGATTTTGGGTTCTCATTCACAAACCAGGGATGCAGGCAAGACCATGCAGGACAACTGTCCCCCCCTTTAGATAGAGTAACTTAATGTTTTCTTTGTTGCTTTCTGAGGAATGTTCTTCATCTAGCTTATTTTTAGTTTGATTTTTATGTCTGATTCCGTTAATCCTCAGTTGGTATAATGCATCATTTTATGATTTCACACATGGCCATTTTCTTGTGAAATAGGCTGATTCTTTTCTTGAAGCTCACACCCTCTGAAATGTGTTCAAGTTGGTGAGAATATCAATTATTTAACTAGGACACTAAAAATATTTTAATTTTTTTTTTTAAGATATAAAGGATATTTTTCCTGGTATTTATAAGCTGTAGCAGATGATTACTAGGACACTAAAAATATTTTAATTTTTTTTTTTAAGATATAAAGGATATTTTTTCCTGGTATTTATAAGCTGTAGCAGTACAGCTAGATGATATATTACCAGTTTTGAGAATGTGCTCCAGTGAAAAGTGGAGGAGGTGGGTTTCCATCCAGGTTCTCCACCTTCAGCTGTCTTCTCAGATTTTGGGG